GTAGTACTCTACTAACAACAGAATACATGACACTTACCTTTAATGAAGATCTGGTAGTAATTGATGGGATGGGAGGAGGGGAGAGTGTTGGAAGTTGTTAATGTTTAGAAGGGGAATCCCCTTCCATTAGGACTTGAGGTAGCAAGTCATTTTCCATGGTTACCTCCCTTCTTCTTTTAATGCCACTAGGACCAGCTTGAGAGTCGCTGGACCTCTGTTGCACAACAAATCTGTCCATAGAGCTCTGTACCTCCCGTTCCTTTACGATTTGTCTAAAATGGGGCACAACATTGTCATTGTAATAGTCACCAGCACGGCTTGCAATAGTTGTGTTAGGGTGATTTTCATCTATAAAGGTTTGCTGTTCAACCCACTTTGCACACATTTCCTTAATTTTTGAAGTAGGCACAATGGATTCCACGACTGGCATAGGCTTCTCAGGGTTAGCCCCAAACCCTTCAAAATCTTTCTTAATTTCCATACTAATTCTCACCCTTTTTACCACAGGGTTGGCACTAGAAGCTTTCTTGGGGCCCATGGTGACTTATTTTGCAGAAACAAGCACCAAAAATACTGTGATAATATGGAATGTACGGAATGTATGCGTAGATGCGAGCACACTGGGTGGCTTGTAAACACTGGCACTCACATGAACGTGTCCCGGACGAATCGCGTGTGGTGGGTTTTTTTAACGAGTGGTGAGGCAAAATTTTTGCATTAAAATGTATCGAATACCGTATTTAACGTATGCCAATGCCATCGAATGTCGGGGGTCCACTGTACTCTGTATATATTCCAAGACAATAGTAAATTGCCAAGGCAGGTGTAAATGTCCACGTATCAGTGTTTGTGACAATTTGAGTACAATTTCAGTACGTAATACAGTGGACCCCCGCATAACGATGGCATCGCATAGCGATTTTTCCGCATAACGATTACTTTTATCGGAAAATTTTTGCCCCGCATACCGATTAAAAACCCGCATACCGATTTTCGTCCGAGACGCGTCCAATGTGCCCTCAGCCAGCCTCACATGTGCCGCTCCGTCCCATTGTTTACCAGCCAGCCTCCGCGGTAACATCCAAGCATACACTCGGAATATTTCGTATTATTACAGTATTTTCGGTGCTGTTTCTGGAAAATAAGTGACCATGGGCCCAAGAAAGCTTCTAGTGCCAACCCTACACCTCAAAGGGTAAAAATTACTATAGAGATGAAGAAAGAGATAATTGATAATTTATGAAAGTGGAGTGCGTATAGCCGACCTAGTCAAGCTGTACAAGAAACCCCAATCAACCATCGCTACTATTGTGGGCACCAGAAAGACAATCAAGGAAGCTGTTCTTGCCAAAGGTTCAACTGTGTTTTCGAAACAAAGATCGCAATTGAGGGAAAGATGTTGAGAGACTCTTATTGGGTGTGGATAAATGAAAAACAGATAGCGGGAGATAGCGTCTCTCAAGCGATCATATGTGAAAAGGCTAGAAGTTGCATGAGGATTTAATTAAAAAATGCCTGCAACTAGTATGATGTGAGTGAATTTAAGGCCAGCAAAGGTTGGTTTGAGAGTTTTAAGAAGCGTAGGGGCCCATCCATAGTGTGATAAGGCATGGTGAGGCTCCCAAAGTTCGGACCACAAAGCGGCTGAAAAATATGTGCAGGAATTCAAGGATACATAGAAACTGAAGGACTAAAAACCTGAACAAGTTTTTTAATTGGGGATGAAACAGGCCTGTTCTGGAAGAAAATTTGCCAAGCAGGACCTACATTACTCAGGAGGAAAGGCACTCCCAGGACATAAGCCTATGAAAGACAGGCTTACTTTGTTGATGTGTGCCAATGCTACTGGTGATTGCAAAGTGAACCCTTTATTAGTGTATCACTCTGAAACTCCCAGAGCGTTCAGGCAAAAGAATGTCCTCAAGGATAATTTGTGTGTGCTGTGGAGGGCAAACAGTAAGGCATGGTCACTAGGAATTTTCTATAACGGGTTTACACCATGCATTTGCCCCCAATGTAAAAAAATTTACCTAACTGAAAAGAAATTAGAACTTAATGCCTCCTGGTGTTAGACAATGCCCCTGGTCATCCTACAGACGTGTCAGAGCGACTTTATGGGGACATGAGCTTCATTAAGGGTGAAGTTTTTGCCTCCTAATACCACTCCTCTCCTGCAGCCCATGGACCAGCAGGTTATTTCCAACTTCAAGAAACTGTACACAAAAGCTCTGTTTGAAAGGTGCTTTGTAATGACCTCAGAAACTAAACTGACTCTAAGAGAGTTTTGGAGAGATCACTTTAATATCCTCAATTGTGTAAACCTTATAGGTAAGGCTTGGGAGGAAAATGACAAAGAGGACCTTGAACTCTGCTTGAAGAAACTGTGGCCAGAATGTTAGACAAAAGGGATTTTGAAGGGTTGAGGCTAAAACCCCGAGAATCCTGTGCCAGTTGAGGAATCCATTGTGGCATTGGGAAAGTCCTTGGGGTTGGAGGTTAGTGGGGAGATGTGGAAGAGTTGGTGGAGGGGACAATGAAGAACTAACCACTGATGAGCTGCTAGATCAACTTCAACAGCAAGAGGCCACACCTAGGAAATTGCTTCGGAGGAGGGGAGAGAGAAATTGAAGAAGTTGCCTACTTCAAAAAATTAAGGAAAATCTGTGCTAAGTGGCTTGAAGTGCAAACCTTCATGGATGAAAATCACCTCACACAGCTATTGCAAGCCGTGCTGGTGATTATTACACTGACAATGTTGTGAAACACTTTAGGGAAGTCATAAAGGAACGAGAGGGACAGGCCACTATGGACAGATATCTTGTGCGAAAAAAGTCCAGTGACTCTGAAGCTGGCCCTATGGCATTAAAAGAAGAAGGGAAGTAACCCCAGAAAAGGACTACTACCTCAAGTCCTAATGGAAGGGGATTCCCCTTCTAAACAGTAAGAAGATATTGCCCCTCCCCTCCTCCCATCCCATCAATCATCACCAGATCTTCAATAAAAGTAAGTGTCATTTAATTGTGCATGCCTTTTTCAGTTTGTGTGTATTAAAATTAACATTTCATGTGGTAAAAAAAATTTTTTTTCATACTTTTGGGCGTCTTGCACGGATTAATTTTATTTCCATTATTTCTTATGGGGAAAATTGATTCGCATAACGATTATTTCGCATAACGATGAGCCCTCTTGCACGGATTAAAATCGTTAACCGGGGGTCCACTGTACTAGTGTCAGAACAAAGATTGGTTATAAAATGACAAGAACTACTACAAATTGTAGTTATCAGGACAAAAATTATATATACAGTGGACCCCCGCATACCGATTTTAATCCGTGCAAGAGGGCTCATTGGTATGCGAAATAATCGGTATGCGAATGAATTTTCCCCATAAGAAACAATGGAAATCAAATTAATCCGTGCAAGACACCCAAAAGTATGAAAAAAAAAAATTTTACCACGTGAAATATACATTTTCCTACACACAAAGAGAAGGATACATGCACAATAGTAGAGTAGTACATGCACAGTATATATTGTGCATGTACTAGTCTACTAAATGAAGAATAAATGACACTTACCTTTATTGAAGATGCAGCAATGACTGATGAGACACTGTGTCCTGGGAGTGCCTTTTCCTCCTGAGTACTGTAGGTCCTGTTTGGTATTTCTTCCCAGAACATGCCTTATCACACTGTGTTATGTCACTACGATTCTTAAATCTCTCAAACCAACCTTTTCTGGCTTTAAATTCACCAATATGAGCACTAGTTTCCAGCATTTTTCCCTGTTCACCTGGGTGTTAGTCGACTGGTGTGGGTTGCATCCTGGGAGACAAGATTAAGGACCCCAATGGAAATAAGTTAGACAGTCTTCGATGACACTGACTTTTTTGGGTTATCCTGGGTGGCAAATCCTCTGGGGTTAATTGTTTCTTGGTATATTCTCAATAAGCCACACCAACAACAGTGCTACAGCAGCAGCAGACGATGCTACAGCAGCAGCAGCAGCAGCAGACGATGCTACAGCAGCAGCAGACGATGCTACAGCAGCAGCAGCAGCTGACAGTGCAGCAGCAGCAGCTGTAGCTGCTGCTGGAGTTTTGAGACTCTATGACCGCGGGTTCAATCCCGGCCGGGGGTATGGTTTAGTAGTGATGGTTGATTGGGGTTTATTATACAACCTGGCCAGCTCGGAGACACGCACTCCACTTTCATACTTATCAATGATCTTTTTCTTCATCTCTATAGTAATTCTCACCCTTATTGCTGTAGGGTTGGCACTAGAAGCTTTCTTGGGGCCCATGGTCACTTATTTTCCAGATAAAATCACCAAAAACACTGTAATAATACGAAATGTTACGATTGTATGCTTGGATGCTACCGCGGAGGCTGGCTGGTAAACAATGCCACCGGCGGAACATGTGAGGCTGGCTAAGGCGCACATTGGATGCGTCTCGGACGAACAGCGGTGAGCGGGTTTTTAAGCGGTATGCGAGGCAAAATTTTAGCGATAAAATGTATCGGTATGCGGATTAAACGTTATGTGATGCCAACGGTATGCGGGGGTCCACTGTACTTCAAATAAAAATTACAGTGTTGCATGTGTTTCATTCCTCAATCCCTCTTCTGTTGCTCTATATCTTTCATTCTACCGTACTGTTTTCTAATTTTTTTTTTTATTTCTTATTCTCTGCACTATATTCACACCACATGTTGGTGTCAAATATTCACTGCTTCTTGCCGCCTCACTGCAAGTATTGGCACTACTGTGCATTCTCCTTTTTTGCATCCACTGATATTTATTTCCAAAACACCCCAGCTACCTTCTCCTTTTCCAATTGTATTAGAGAGTATGTATTGTATAATATTCTTGTGTCATCCTTTTGTATAAAATTAATTTTGTCGTAATATTCATTTTTATTATCTTTATAGTGTTATATTGCATAGTTATCAAAAAAAAAAAATCCTGTATGTTAAATGGACTGTAATTTTTCCAACAGTTGGCTTCTCAGCGACAAATTTTGATGGCTTGGAAGAGTGGCGCTAGAGGGCGGAACCTGATGATGTGTGGCAAGTGCCAGTGTAGAATTTCTGGTACTCTTCAAGAACATAACAAGACAATTGAGCATAACTTGGTATCTCAGTACCTGAAAGTTAAATGCTGTGGTCATGCATACAACATAAGAGGAGCTTTAGAGGAGCACAGACTCTCTCTGCTCCATTTTAAATGGCAAATGGAGCTGGAACAGGAAATTAAAGAAATGGAAAAAAAGAAGATGGAAAATGATGGCAATATTTCTGAAGAGACTATAATGAAGATGTTTCATGATGCAGTAGAACAGCACAAGGCCAATAATTGTGAGGAAATAATGACTTCAAAAACACTTCCTCCCTATGATCCTGCTGTTCCTGTGGGTAAGTAACTTCATTGCAGTAAAATCTCTCATTAATGGATTTTGGCAGTTTTGGTTTAACAAAATTGGATGGACAAATGTTGGAAGTATCATACAAAATGGAATAAAGAAAGTAATTCTGGATTTTGTTACCATGTTTATATTAATGATGACTAAATATTTGTTTTTTTATTTTAATAACACATCAGCCGTTTCCCACCAAGGCAGGGATGCCGGAAACAGAAAAACTTTCATCATTCACTCCGCCACTGTCTTGCTAGAGGCATGCATACACTACAGTTATAAAACTGCAACATTACCACCCCTCCTTCAGAGTGCAGACACTACTGCCCATCTCCAGGACTCAGGTCCAGCCTGTCAGTTTCCCTGAATTCCTTCATAAATGTTACCTTGCTTACACTCCAACAGCATGTCAAGTCCTAAAAACCATTTGTCTCCACTTGCTCCTGTCTAACACGCTCATGCACGCTTGCTGGAAGTCCAAGTCCCTCACATACAAAACTTCATTAACCAACCCTCCCTCCAACCTTTCTTAGGCTGACCCCTACCCCGCCTTCCCTCCACTACAGACTTGTATACTCTCAAAGTCATTCTATTTTATTCCATTCTCTCTACATGTCCAAACCATCTCAATAACCCCTCCTCAGCCCTCTGGATAATAGGTTTGGTAATCCCACACCACCTCTTAATCCCCATACTACAGATTCTTTGCATTATATTCACATAACACATTGCTCTCAGACATGACATCATCTCTGCCTCTGGCCTTCTCCTTGTTCCAACATTCACCACCCATGCCTCACACCCATACAAGAGCATTGGTATAACTATACTCTCATACATTCCCCTCTTTGCTTTCATGGATAAAGTTCTTTGTCTCCACAGACTCCTCAGTGCGCCATTTACCTTTTTCCCCTCGTCAGTTCTCTGATTCGCCTCATCCTTCATAGACCTATCTACTGACATTTCCACTCCCAAATATCTGATCACATTCACTTCCTCCATACTCTCTTCTTCCAATCTGATGTCCAGTTTTCCGTTGCCTAATTTTTTTTTTTTATCCCCTTACTCTTACCTATGTTCACTTTTGACTTCCTCCTTTTACATGCCCTTCCAAACTTATCAACCAACCTCTGCAACTTCTCTTCAGAATCTCCCAGAAGCAGTGTCATCAGCAAAGAGCAACTGTGACAACTCCCTCTTTGTGTTAGATTCTTCATCTTTTAACCCCACACCTCTTGCCAACACCCAAGCATTCACTTCTCTTTCTACTCCATCTGTAAATATATTGAACAACCATGGTGACATCACACACCCCTGTCTAAAGGCCTACTTTTACTGGGAAATAATCTCCCTCTCGCCTACATACTCTAACCTGAGCCTCACTATCCTCGTAAAAACTTTTCACTGCTTTCAATAACCTACCTCCTATTTCATACATTTGCAACTTCTGCCATAACAGATGCATTCATAATTTGTGTATGTACCTTGTATACCTTGAGGAAGAGCCAGTTGTGAGTGTGGGGGAAGTTCGTGAGGCAGTAGGTAAAATGAAAGGGGATAAGGCAGCCGGGATTGATGGGATAAAGATAGAAATGTTAAAAGCAGGTGGGGATATAGTTTTGGAGTGGTTGGTGCAATTATTTAATAAATGTATGGAAGAGGGTAAGGTACCTAGGGATTGGCAGAGAGCATGCATAGTTCCTTTGTATAAAGGCAAAGGGGATAAAAGAGAGTGCAAAAAAGGGGGTAAACCCCCTTTCTTTTTTTTTTTTCCCCCCCCCCCCCCCAAAAAAAACCAATTTTTAAATTCCCCCCCCCGGGGGTTTTTTAAAAAAAAAACCCCCCCCCCTTTTTTTTTTTTTTCCCCTTTTCCCCCCCCCCCCCCCTTTTTTTCCCTTTTTCTTTTTTAAATTAAAAACCCCCCCCCCTTTTTTTTTTGGGGGTTTTTCCCCTTTCCCCCTTTTTTTTTTTCCCCTTTTTCCCCTTTTAAATTTTTTCCCCTTTTTTTTTTAAACCCCTTTTAAAATTTTTTCCCCCCCCCCAAAAAATTTTTTTTTGGGGTTTTTTGGGGGGAAAAGGGAAAAGGGGGGGGAATTCTTACCTTTAAAAAAGGGAAAACCCGGGAAAAAAAAAAATTTTTTTTTTTAAAAAAGGGGGAAAATTTTTTTTTTTTAAAAAAATTTTTTGGGGGGGGGCCCCCCCTTTTTCCCCCATCCCCCCAAAAAAAAAAAAAAATTTTTTTAAAAAACCCCCTTTTTTTTAAATTTGGGGTTTTTTAAAAAATTTTTTTTTTAAAAAAAAAAATTTAAAAAAAGGGGTTTTTTTAAAAAAGGGGGGGGTGGGGGGGGGGAAAAAAAAAGGGGGTTTTTTTTTTTTAAAGAAAAAAAAAAAACCGGGGGAAAAAGGGGGGGGGGGAAAAAAAAAAATTTTAAGGGGGGGGAAAGGGGAATTTTTTTGGGGGGGAAAAAAAGGGGAAAAAAAAAAAAAAAGGGGGGGAAAAATTTGGGGGGGGGGGGAAAAAATTTTAAAAAAAGGGGGGGGGGTTTTTTAAAAGGGGGAAAAATTTTTAAGATGGGGGGAAAAAGGAAATTGGGGGGTTTCCAAGGGTTTCTTAAAAATAAAAAAAAAAAAAAGGGGGGGAAAAAGGGGTTTTTGGGGGGTTTAATTTTTGGGGGTTTTTAAGGGGTTTGGGGGAAAGGGGGGGGTTTTTTTTGGGGTAAAAAGGGGGGGAAAAAAAAAGGGGAAAAAAAAATTTTTTTGGGAAAAAAGGTTAATTAAAAATTGAAAAAAAAAAAAAATTTAAAAAAAATTTGGGGGGGCCCCCTTTTTTTTTTTAAAAAAGGGGGGTTTTAAAGAATTAAATGGGGGGGGGGGAAAAGGGGGTTTAAAAAAAAAAACCCCGGGGAAAAATTTTTTTTAAAAAACCCCCCCTTTTTTTGGGGTTTAAAAAGGGGGAAAAAAATTTTTGGGGAAAAAGGGTGGGGGGAAAAAGGGGGGGGGGGAAAAAAAAAAAAAAGGGGGGGAAAAAATTTTTTTGGGGGGGTTTAAAAATTGGAAAAGGGGGGAAGGAAGGGGGAAGGTTTCGTTTTGGGGGGGGAAAAAAAAAAAAAAAAAGGGGGGGGGGGGGGGGGTTAAAAAGGGGGGGGGGGGGGGAAAAAATTTTTTTTGGGGAAAGGGGGGAAATTTTTTTTTTTTTTAAGGGAAAAAAAAAAAGGGGTTTTTTTGGGGGGGGGGGAAGGGGGGTTTTTTTGGGGGGGGGGGGGGGGCCCCCCCCTGGGGGGGGGGGGTTCCCCAAAAAAAAATTTTTTTGGGGGGGAAATTTTTTCCCCCCGGGGGAAAAAGGGGAAAAAAAATTTAAATTTTTTTTTGGGGGGGGGGGAAGGGGCCGGTTTAAAAATTTAAAATTTTTAAAAAAAATTTTTTTTGGGCCCCCTTTTTTATTCCAAACCCGGGTTGGGTTTTTAAAATTTAAAAAAAATTTGAAAAAATTTTTTTTTGGGGGGAAAAAAAAAAAAATTTTGGGGGGGGGAAAAACCCCCGGGGGCCGGTTTAAAAAAAGGGGGTTTTTTCCCCAAGGGGGTTTTTTGGGGTTTTAAATTTATTTTAAAACCCCCCCTTTTTAAAAAATTTTGGGAAATTTTTTTTTCCCCCCCCTTTTTGGGGGGTTTTGGGAAATTAAAAAAAAATTTTAAAAAAAAAAAAAAATTCCCCCTTTTTTAAAAAAAAAAATTTTTTTTGAAAAAAAAAAATTTTCCCAAAATTTTTTTTTTTAAAAAAAAAAAATTTTTAAAATTTTTGGGTTGGGAATTTTATTTTTTTTTTCCCCCCCCGGGTTTTTTTGGGGGTTTTTTTTTTCCCCCTTTTTTTAAAAAATTTAAAAAAAAAATTTTTTTTTGGCCAAAAAAAAAATTTTTTTTTTAAATTTTTTTTTAAAAAGGAAAAAAAAAAGGGCCCAAAAAAAAAAACCAAAAAAAACCCCCCCCAAAAAAATTTTTTCCCCCATTTATTTTTTTTTCCTTTTTTTTTTCCCCCAAAAAAAATTTTAAATTTTTTTTTTAAAAAAATTTTAAAAACCCAAAAAAAAAAAAAAAAATTTTTTTTGGGTGGGGTTTTTTTTCCCTTTAAAAAAAAAAAATTTTTTTGGGGGGGCCCCCTTTGGTTCCCAAAAAAAAAAAAAAAAAATTTTTTTTTTAAAAAAAAAATTTTTTTTTAAAAAAAAAAAACCAAAAAATTTTTTCCCCCCCCCCAAAAAGGAAATTTTTAAAAAAAAAAAAAGGGGGAAACCCCCCCCCAAAAAAGGGTTTTGGGGCCCCCCCCAAATTTTTTTTTTTTTTTAAAAACCCAAATTTTTTTCCGGGGTGTCCCCCTTAAAAACCCCTTTTTTTTTTTTTGGGGGAAAAAAACCCCCCCCCCCCGGGGGGAAAACCAAAAAAAATTTTTTTTTTTTTTTTAAAATTTAAAAAAAAAATTTTAAAAACCCGGAAAAATTTTGTTTTTTTCCCCAAATTTTCCCTTTTAAACACCCGGGGGCCCCGGGGGGGGGGGTTTTTTTTTTTTTTTTTAAAATTTTTTTTTTTTTTTTTTCCCCCCTTTCCCCCAAAAATTTTTTTTTGGGGGGGGGGGAAAAATTTTTTGGGCCCAAAATTTTTTTTTTTTTTAAAAAAAAAATTTTTAAAAACAAAAAAAAAAAAATTTTTTTTTTTTTTAAAAAAAAAGGGCCCCGGCTGTTTTTTTTTGGGGTTTAAAAATTTGGGGGAAAAAATTTTTTTTTTCCCCTCCCCCAAAAAACGAGTGTCCCCCGGGGGGTTTTTTTTTTTTTTGGGGAAAAAAAACCCCCCCCTTTTTGGTTTTTTTTAAAAAAAGGGGGGGGAAAAAAAAAACCCCCCCAAAACCCAGGGGGGTTTTTTTTTTTTGGGGGGGGGAAAAAGGGGGGTTTTTTTTTTTTTTTTTTGGGGAAAAAAAAAACCCCGTTTTTTTTGGGTTTTTTTAAAAAAATTTAAAAAAAGGGGAAAGGGAAAAAA